TGACACTGTTACCTTAAGATAATCCCTCAACCATTAACCAAAAACACCTCCGGAAGTCTTCTCACAATCCCAGAGCTCTCTTTGCTTAGCTCACAGAGAGTGCGTGCTCTGAACATTTTGGTCTCCAGAGATCTGAGAGTATTTACGGGGGATCAAAGCGACCACAGCAGTGGAAGAGATTAGATAGGAGGCTAGGGGTCAGGGAGTTCAGGACCCCGGGCGGGACAGGTCAGAAAAGTTAGCCCAGAAAGCTTGCCCAGCTCAAAGAGTGTAAGGGCTGCTCAGGTTGTTGGATTGGCGTTGGCTCCGCTTTGTGTAGGCCCAACCAACAACCGCCAAATAAAAAGAAACAAGGTTTTTTTAAATCGTTTTATTGGGAGCTCGTACAACGCTTATCACAATCCACACATACATCCATGAGACGAGAATTTTTAAAGGAGGAATAAATAGAACTCATCCTCAAAGCAAACTCAAGGCCAGCAAGTCAATTCTGACTCGTAGTGCCGAGGTGGAATAAGCACACACAACTTAAAATAGACTAAATTAAAAGGAGAGAGACAGACAGACAGTAATGAAACAAATGCTCTTGGACCCACCATCCAAGCCCAAAGCTCCTGCCTTGAGCCCCCAGGGTTGTGGGAAAGTGGAGTGGAAAGAGAAAGGGATTTCCCCCATGGACTTGTGGACGCCACCACCTGTACAGTCAGAGGACTCTTGGCAGACACAGCAGACCTGGGAGGGCAAGCGGTGTGGTCAAGAAGAGCCCTGGTGGTGGGGTGGCACAGCGGGTAAGCGCTCAGGAGTGGACATCCACCAGCAAGGCCGAGGCCGGCTGCTGCTTCCGAGGTGAACGGCAGTTGTGTCCCATGAGGTTGCTGGTTGCTCCTGGCTGTGCACACAGGCTGGCGGGGTGAGCCCACCAGGGCTGGCTGCCTCTGGAAAGGCTGCAGCTCTGGCGGTCCTGGGGAAGTTCCCTGCGTCCCGTAGGCGTGCTGTGGCAAGTCGGAATCCACTGGGCAGCAAACACGGAAGAGGCCTTTTTGGTTCTCGGTCACCAGCTGAGGGCGTGGGGAGAGTCGTGGGGAGAGTCATCGTTTCACTGGGTGGTTTTAGCCTGGGGAGGGCATAGCAGGGTGATGGCGCGTCTGGACTGGGCGTGGAACACTACCTGTGAACAGGGCCAGTCCAGAGGCCAGGAGGTGAGGTGCACGGCGCTGGTGTCAGCTCCCTCTGCCAGTTTATAGCCTGTCAACTGTTCAGTAGCCACTAGCCACATGGGGCTGGGGGCGTGTGGTGCCCTGTGCATTTAAATCAAGTGGGGACCAGTTAACCACTTGGTACCACAGCCCCATTGGCCCCCACTGGCAGTCCCCATACCCCATGTGGGCAGTGGCCTCCGCCCTGGCCTGTACAGTTGAGGTGTCAGGGCTGTCAGACTGTTCGGTCCCCCGAGGGGAGTGCACTGTGGGTCTGGCTCAGAATCTGAGACTTGAGAGTCTGAGCCAGGTGGCTGCAGGTGCAGAGGCTCTGCTGCATGCTCTGTGCATGCAGATCCTGGCCCTGCCACCCAGTCTCCTCACATGGGTGCGGGTGGTGTGCGACGGGGCAGGCTCCCCGACTCCCACCGTCCATCTTCCCATATTTTGTGATACGGCACCCCTTTAGCGTGAGCAGAGTTCATGGTGCAGAAAAGGCGGGGACAGACCGTGGAAAGGGCGCCGTCTGGGGTCTGCGGTTGTCACTGGGCGTCACTCTGTTTGCTGGATCACTTAGCTGTCCTCAGAAGGTGTCTTCAAACTGGCTCAGAGGCCTGAAGGGACCCGGAAAACAGGAGCCCCTGCCACTGGCAAGGTGTACCTTCCTCGGCTCTGACAACCAGCACACTGTGGCCTCTCCCTGGCCCTGAGCCTGTGTTGCCCCACTCCCAAGGGTCTCCTCACAGAGGCCCTGGGTGTCGGCCCTCTAGTCCTCCAGGCCCTCCTGGGGCCCTTCCGCACAGGCACCTTCCCGAGTCCTGCAGGCTGACCGATTCCTCGGCTTTGTGGTTTGGTCCAGGTGTGCTCTCTTTCCCCTTGCTGAGCTCAGACCCCGCGCACAGCCTGGGAAGCCAGATACCTGTGGAGACAAGCGCCTGTGCCCTCCTGCCACAGAACCGTGGCAGCCCACTGGGACGTGCCTGACCATGTGTGATCTGCACCCACAGGTGGAGCTGGAGGTCACCCTGCCTGGGGAAGGCAAGGACCGCATCTTCAAGGTGTCCATCAAGTGGGTGTCCTGCGTGAGCCTGCAGGCGTTACACGATGCACTTTCAGGGCGGCTATCCAGCGTGCCCTTCGAAACGATCCAGGCCCTGGACGTGGTCATGCGGCACCTGCCGTCCATGAGGTGAGAGGTCCCAGGGCCGGCCCCGAGGGGGTGCCTGAGTCTGTAGCGTGCACTGCCGCTGCCAAGTCATCCCCTGCTGCTGTCAGACACGCCACGAGGACGGCCATCCGTCCTCCCAGCTGGGGAGGCTTTCTAGTACCCACTGTGCCATGGAGCTGCTCTGTGCCCATGACCCCAGAAGCCGACTTTTCACACTGGTTCACAAGCGCTCTCTCTGTCTCTCTCCTGGTTCACAAGCTTTCTCTCTCTCTCTCTCCTGGTTCACAAGCTTTTTCTCTCTCTCTCTCTCTCTCACACACACACACACTCTCTCTCTCTCTCTCTGGGTCAGAAATAAACGGACTCACGGTGCCTCCTATGGGTTTCCGAGACTTACCATCGTCCACAGAGCAGACTCCGTCTTTCTCCCTAGGAGCTGCTGGGGGTTCCAACTGCGGACCATTTGGATTGCAGCCCAGCGTGTCACCACAGGGTGGAGGGCTAGAATTCAGGGCGAGGGCTCCAGGACAAGGACCACCCCCACCCCTGCGTTTGTGTGTGTGTGCGCACGCTCTGAGGGAAGGCCTGTGTCTCCTCAGCTTCTGTTACTTGCAGGGCTCCCCGCTTCCTGGCATCTGTTTTCCTTCGTCTCCGCTCCACTGGCCTGTTTAATCTCTCCTCTTTCCAAAGACAAGGCCCAGACACCCCACACTAGTCTTCCCTCACAAACGCCAGAGAGGTCCCTTCCAAATGGGATCGGCAGCACAAGCACCGAGGTTAGGATTGGGGTGTCATAACTCAAGTCACGACAGACCCCCAGTCTGCTCTTGTGAAGGTGCTCAGGAGGTGTCCAGCTCCCGCTGATGACAGACCAGGAAGGAAGGTGGACCCCACCCTGAGGTCTCACCATCCATGCTGCCACCCATGCTGTGTTCCCTTACCACGTGTGAGGCCGAGTGAAGAGGCTTGCCTTTTCTGGAAAGTGCACGTACCCACACAGGGCGGTCTCCTGTTCCAGGTACACCCCTGTGGGCCGCTCCTTCTTTACCGCCTCCGAGGGCTGTTCCAACCCCCTGGGTGGGGGCCGAGAGGTCTGGTTTGGCTTCCACCAGTCCGTCCGACCCTCGCTTTGGAAAATGATGCTGAATATTGACGGTGAGTGAAGGCAGGTCGTGGGGCTGGGAGGGCGCTGACAGGCCAGGCCATTTTAGGTCTCTCTGAACATCAGCCTCCTTTGTCCTGAGACCAGAAGAACTAGATGGTGCCCAGCTCTGGGGTGGGGTGGGAGTGCCAGCAGGCAGGGAATGCGGAGCAAAATACAAAATTTCCCCCATGAACTCCTTGCTTTCTGTCGCCATGGAAGCTGCTTCAGCCCCCCAGAACAACAGCCTTGAGATCACCTTCAAACCCTAAACCAGAGATATCCTGCAAGTCTCCTTAAAGTCCAACAGTAGGTTAGCCTGACTGAAAAAGGGAAGCTGCGCGGAGTGCCGTGCTCTTTTGAGTTCCACGTAGATGAGACCCAGGCGGCCATAGCGGGCGGTGAGCGGTGTTCATGGAACGGGGCAGGAGCTGGAAGCAGGGACTGCGCAGATGACTGTACCTGCAGGACCCCCTGAAGTGGTGTGTCCTCTGCTGTCGTGTGTTCCGGCAGCAATAAAAAGGAACTTGAGAAAGGAAAACAATCACTCAAAAACGCAGCGATCCATTGGACAGAGCTCGAGACGCTAACCATCAGTGTTTAAAAGTGTAGTGGTTCTGGAAACCCCAAACATGGCCAGGGCCCTCGGGTTTTGTTTGTTTCTCAAGACGAGTTTCAGGCCTCAGAGGGTGAATCAGTAGTGGCCCCGACTGGGGGGAACGCTGGGCAGCCCCTCCTGCATGTGAATGCCGACGGTGGGCTTTGGGGGAGGCGCAGCAGGTGAGCCAGGGGTCTCTGGGCGCAGCCGGTCAGGAGCAGGACCGCGCGAATGGTCTCGCTGGCTCTCTTCCTGCCTGCAGTCTCTGCAACGGCCTTTTATAAGGCACAGCCTGTGATCGAGTTCGTTTGTGAAGTTCTGGATTTTAAAAGTATTGAAGAACAACAAAAAACTCTGACAGATTCCCAAAGGGTCAAGTTTACCAAAGAAATCAAAGGTAACACCCTCTGGGGGCTGGGAGACTGAGGTTGGGTGGAGGGGACAGTGAGCTGGTCGCCGACAGGGCCAAAGCTGGTGCTGACATGGGTGTGGGTGCGTCCTCAGGTCTAAAGGTGGAGATAACGCACTGTGGCCAGATGAAAAGGAAGTACCGAGTCTGCAACGTGACCCGGCGGCCTGCCAGCCACCAAACGTAAAGCCCTGCCCCTGCCCCTGCCCCTCACTGACCCCACTGTGCAGTGACCTAGGTGGCTAAAGGACATCTCTGCTGGGAGGCCTGCAGGGACAGCCCAGCAGCCTGTGGTAGGGCAGTAGATGCCAGCTGTGTGGCCCCGGCTGTACAGGCACCATCCCTACAGGGAAGGCCCACCCCAATCAGACCCTCTGCTCAGGTGGAGAGCCCTTACTACCACTTTGCCACCCACCCCTGATTCAGCCTCAGAGAAGCTCCCTATCCCTGAACCCTCCTGCTCCTGGCCCAGCTGAGAGGACGTGTTCTCTTACTGTAAGAGGCCACTTCTTCCTGTGAAGCTGCTGGGCCCGTGGCATCGGTCACGGAAGGTTGGACTGGCCTCCTTTTGCACAGTGGGTACAAGATACGCAGTGTAGAGGGTCTTACACGGTAGGAGCACACAAGTGTCTGTACTGCCCAGCTCCAGGGATGGGGGTGTGGAAGTGCTCTGAAGTATCCCAGATAATCAGTCGTACAGGAGTGGACACCACCCTCAGACAAGGCATTGAAGGAGGAGCGCCCCACCCCCCACCCCCCCGCGCCCCTTCCTCCGCGCTCAGCCCTCCCTGGCCACCCTGTGCCGCAGGTTCCCGCTGCAGCAGGAGAGCGGCCAGACCGTGGAGTGCACGGTGGCCCAGTACTTCAAGGACAGGCACAAGCTGGTGCTGCGCTACCCCCACCTCCCATGTTTACAAGTTGGGCAGGAGCAGAAACACACCTACCTTCCTCTGGAGGTAAGCCCCCCAGATGGCCAAGGTGGGATATCTCTACCACCCGGGCAGGGTAGGAGGCCTAGCTCACTGACTTCTTTGAGCCTCAATGTACTTGTGAGTGAAATGGGGCAGGATTGGTGTCTGGGTGAAAGGAGCTGTCATGTGATGAGGCCTCGGGGGGCCTGCCAGCCACTGTCCTGGGAAAGGGCCTTGGCCTGCAAGGGGTGCGCGTTGGAATGGGAGCAAGTCCACCAGAGGCGGCCTTGGCTTTTTAGGGGCAGCTGTTCAGCAAGCAGGCAGAGCCCTGCTCCAACCCATGTGGGCACTGGACACTGCAGCCCTCGTCCGTGCTGGGGGCACTGTGGCCTCCTGCAGCCTACCATTCCTGGGGAGCTTAGGCGGACCACCACCGCGGTCCCAGCCCAACACGGTTTTCAGGGCTGAAGGCATGTGCCCAAGAGCGCCATTGGTCCCCTCTCTCCACAGGTCTGCAACATAGTGGCTGGACAGAGGTGCATCAAGAAACTTACTGACAATCAAACCTCAACCATGATCAGAGCGACGGCCAGGTCTGCGCCCGACCGCCAGGAAGAGATCAGCAAACTGGTGAGGGCAGCCGGGCCAGGGTCGGGGGCCTTCGTGGGTGGGATAGGCATGAGCGGGGGCAGACGGTGTCTCATGCCTTCTCTCTCCCCCCACCCCCCTCTGCAAGATGCGAAGCGCCAGTTTCAACACAGATCCCTACGTGCGTGAATTCGGCATCATGGTCAAAGATGAGATGACAGACGTGACCGGGCGGGTCCTCCAGCCACCCTCCATCCTCTACGGGGGCAGGGTACATGTGCGCTGGGGGGCAGGGTACATGTGCGCTGGGGGGCGGGGCTGTGTGTGCTAGGGCGGGGCTGCCTTGCTGGGGGCGGGGCTGGGTCTCATCCGTTGAAAAGCATCTTTGTGTGGCACATGCGCTCTTCAGCATAGAGTTCCTTTCCAGAGGCTTGTGCGGTTTTTGTAGCTTCCTAGCTGTCCAGTCCTCTGGAGCCCTTGTGGCACAGTGGCTTACACATTGGCCTGCTAACCACAGGTCAGCACTTTGAAACCACCAGCTGCACCTCGGGTGGAAAAGGAGGCTTTGTAGTCCCATAAGATGACAGCCTGGGAAAGCCACAGGGCCAGTGCTGCTCTGCTGCCATTTGGGGGCTGGGGCGGGGGCGGATCCCACTAGCTCATCTTCTGTTCATTTGGCTGTCCACTTTTCACCCAGACACCTGGGAGGGAGGCGGGGCGGAAGTGGGATTTGTTCTTGCGCAGGGAGCCGCTATTGGGCCAAGGACAGACAGACACTCTCCCCTGGTGTCTTGCAGAACAAGGCGATTGCCACCCCTGTGCAGGGTGTCTGGGACATGCGGAACAAGCAGTTTCACACGGGCATCGAGATCAAGGTGTGGGCCATCGCCTGCTTTGCCCCCCAGCGCCAATGCACTGAAGTCCACCTGAAGTAAGTGCCCTGGGCGGGCAGTGGGCGGGAGCACGTGCCCTCATGTGACGGGGCTTCTATTTCCACTGTCACCGGGGGGCCACTTGTCTGCCTCCCCTCCCTCGGCGGGCCTCCAAGGGGCCAGTTGGCCCAGCTGCCACTCTTGTGCCCGTTCCCATCCCCACACCCACATCACCTGTCCTAATGCCCAAACAGGCAGTTCCCTCCAAAAATGCCCGGCACCCAGGGGCCCAGAGCTGCTGGATGCCCCCTTCCCAGAATAAGGGTACGGCTTCCTTTGAAGGCCCCCCGCCCTGGCCAGCAGAGGCTGCTGGGCACGACAGCTGGTGCTGGGGTGTCGATGTAAGAGGACACGGCTCCCTGCGAGTGCAGCAGCTGTCCCACAAGGTGGAGCCAGCCAGGGTCTCTCGGTGCTTAGTGGTGAGCAGTGACAGGTGTCAACCAAGGGGCCACGGGAGTCCTGCAGGAGGTGGGGGCTGCCCCCGTGCGGTCTTGCCGACACTAATGGCCAGGCCTTCCCTCTGTGGTGCCTGGGGTGGTTCCGAGCCCAGCCCCAGACGCACGGTTAGGACTCACACGGATAGCCCCCAGAAGGCCACCCATCTGAGGGGCACCATTAGGACATGTGGACCTAGGTGGCACTCTGCTGCCCACCAGGAGGGCCTGGGTTTGAGCCTGTCTGCCTCTATGGGGGTAGCCCCGAGAGCCCAGGGTGGAATTTCTCTGTCCGACAGGTGACTCTGAGTCAGAGACGGGCCCCCTGGCAGTACGTGGGGAACAAGGTTCCCTGCTGGATAATGTGTTTGGTGGGTTTGCTGCATCGGCCTCTGTAGGAGAAAGATGAGTTCTTGTGCTGCCTTCCTTCCAGGGCCACTGTGAGCCCAGGTGTCATGTGAGCACGGCTGTCGTGTCCTCCTGCAGGTCCTTCACAGAGCAGCTGCGCAAGATCTCCAGGGACGCCGGGATGCCCATCCAGGGCCAGCCGTGTTTCTGCAAGTACGCCCAGGGCGCCGACAGTGTGGAGCCCATGTTCCGCCACCTCAAGAACACCTACGCCGGCCTGCAGCTGGTCGTGGTCATCCTGCCGGGAAAGACCCCTGTCTATGGTAGGTGGTGCTCGCTGGTGGGGGGCCACTGCCCAGGGGTTGTCCAGGGCCACCCCCACCCCTCCTGTGGTCATGGTGCCCAAATTCTGCACGAAGGTCAGCCCCCTGCCCTCCCCACCCAAGGGGGCCGTCCCCTCTTCATCACCTCAGAGCCCTTGCAGACTGCTTTCAGACACCATCAAGCCCTGGGACCTACCTGTCCAGCCCGAGTTGTCTGCCCCATGGAGGGGGATGGGGCTGGGGCAGGGGTTGCGGGGTGGGCTGGCCCTGGTCTTGAAGCATTCGAAGACCAAGAAGCATACTTCTCCCTTTCAGATCCTTTAGGTGTGGGGAGGGGCGGTGGTACGTGGGCACTGAGGGACCCCGGAGCACAGAGCTCCCACACCCAGGAGAGGGCCAGGAAGAGTGGGCTCGGGGATCAGCGTTACCAGCAGCTGTGCCCTGAGAGCCTGGGGGAAACAGGAGGGGCTGCGTGTCTCTGGGTTGGGGGGACCCTCAGCAGCTACTTGAAGGGAACAGTTCCTGACTTATAACACTCCTTGGCTCCCCCCACCCCCACCAAGAGCACACTGCTGAGTGGGACAGGCCAGCCTGGGGTCCCGTAGGTGGGCCCACCTCTAGGCCACCACAGCACGTCACAGGTCAGTGCTTTTGTGAATATGACCAGGGTCCCTGGGAGGTAAGCGTGTCTGCCCCTCCTGAATCCAGGAGGCGTGCGATGGCCCAAGGGAAACACGTGGCCATAGGACAGTAGCGCCCATAGACGTGCTCAGCGCAGGGCTCCGGCCTGATCCCCTGGGCAAAACCTGTCGTCTGTGAGGGGCAGTGAGCCCTAGAATGCCTGGGGTGCCCCAGCCACCGAGTGCCACGCCCTCCACGGTCAGCCGAAGGCCTGCATACACTGGAGGGACTGGCTGTGCCCAGCCCTGAGGGAGGGCAGGGCTGTGGAGACATGCTGTCAGGCAGAAGGAAAGTAGCACCGAGCCTTGAGGGGTGTGCGCTGTGACTGCGTGTTGGCAGTGGCGGAAGGGGGTGCAGGCGAACGCTGAGCTGTGGCCTCTGTCCTGCAGCTGAAGTGAAGCGTGTGGGTGACACCGTGCTGGGGATGGCCACGCAGTGTGTGCAGATGAAGAACGTGCAGCGGACCACCCCGCAGACCCTGTCCAACCTCTGCCTGAAGATCAACGTCAAGCTGGGAGGGGTGAACAACATCCTGCTGCCCCAGGGCAGGTGAGTGCCTAGTGGGGGTGAGTCCACACGCCCAGGGCAGCTGAGTGCCGGGTAGGGATGAGTCCACACGCCCAGGGCAGGTGAGTGCTGGGTGGGGGTGAGTCCACACGCCCAGGGCAGGTGAGTGCC